TCTCCATGCCCTCCTGGGACCCAGAGATAAAGGAAACTGCTCTTTTGTCGATAATTTGGGTACCATCGGCCGTGAGGCCTACGGCGGGAAAAAACGAAACTAAAGATTCTCCACCCGGCCCTCCTCCGGGGGAGGGAGTGGTGCGTTCACCATCTCCTGAAGAGCAGATCCTTCCATCCATCCCTGGGTCGACTGTCTCAGGGCCGCTTGCTTTTCTGCTTGCCAGCAGGTTTGCCGGGGGCCTGGAGAGGCGGGGCGGCCCGCCCATGCCCGGCTCCATGACGCCGCTTTGCTGAAGGCTGCTGCGGATGTGGCACGGGAGCGGGGGCGGATGCGGGGGTGCTGCAGCCGGTGGACGGATGGAGGCAGCAGCTGCCCGCCGGGGCAGGATGTGTCGGATCGCCTCAGTCTGCTTCTGGGCAGCCGAGAACTGCTGGGCAAAGGACTTAGGACACAATTGCATCGCTACTGCCCGCTCCACCAGGGGGATCACCGAATACCCCTTCGCTGCACCGCCGTCGAGGGTGGTGAGGGAGGAGGAGCCCGCCGGCCGGTTTCTGGCAGTTAAAGGTGCCGTCCACGACCTGGTGAGCTCGTCATGCACCTCTGGGAAGAAAGGCACAAGAAGGGGGGGCGCTGAGAACCAGCGCGAGTCACCCTGAGAAACCAATCATCCAGCCTTGAGGGCTCGTGACGCGGTGGAGGTTTCCACTCGAGCTCGACCCTTTCAGCGGCCCGGGAAAGCATAGCTGTCATCTCCGGATCCGATTCAGGCTTTGCCACCATCCCGAAGGGCGGCAGCGCGGCCGAATCCTCATCGGACAGCTCTTTCCCAAAATCATTGCTATTTAAGTAGCATGTAAAAGCATTTGTAAATGAATGAGAGCCTCTGAGCATTTCTAAGCCCATTACATGCAACTTAAATAGATCTTTTCTTGAATCTTCCATAGTTTATGACAGACAAATTGACACTTCATGAATTATATGAATGCATTTTGAGCATTGTAAAGCCACTGTACCAATGAGTAACTACAGTAACTAAGAAAACCAGGACTGTGCCTAAAATCGAATACTTCCCTATTTTATAGTATGGGAAAAACAGTATGCCAATAGTATGTCCAAATTCATAGTATTAAAAATAAATAAATAAATAAATAGGCGAAAAGTACTCAGGTGACCTACTACTTCCACCTGGAATCTGAAGTGCACAGTCAATGGACAATTTACTGTCCCATGAGACCACAGGGAAGGATTTATGAATGGCAGTGAAGTGACGCAACTGATGAAGGTAGGTCACGCAATAGTAACAACATGGCGGATGTAGTATGTCCAAATTTAATTCATGCTACCCATATTCATAATATATAAAACATGCTTTTTTTAATGGCTGTGAAGTAAGTTCAAATTCAAATGTAGTACCTACTCAGACAGTATGCGATTTTGGAAGCACCTCAGGACTAAACAAAGGTAGGAAAAAGGAAACAGAACTCGCGACAAATTCTGAATAATTGGGCCATTTTTCTCAGTCATCTCAATCACACAAGGTATCTCAATTTACCTGAATTCACCTTATACGTAGATGTAGTAGGGCTTCAGAAGACTTAAAGCTAATGAGTTATGGACTTCTTTTACATTATAAGATGCCTGTTTTGTCATTAATTCTTCTTCAGAAATTCTCCTTTTGTGTTCCACAGAAGCAATATGAGTTTGGAACAGAATAATACTGATTTACGAATAGAGTAATTCATGAGGGTGTGTAAATGATGACAGAATAATACTTCTTGGGTAAATTATTCTTTTAAGCTCAACTGGCTACATCTGAGTGATGAAACAATTTTGTCTTGCACCTCAGTTTTTGAAAGCAAACACAAATTATGTTTACAGTAATGCACTTACAATGAAGATTTGTGGGACAAGACATTGATGAGAGTTTAAAAACAGAATTGCACAGACTAACTTTTTTTTAATAGTCCTGTTGGTATGCCATTATTTTTGTAGGTGGGATGAATGATTTTGCATCATTGAGTTTATACACAGTATGTAAACAGTCCTTTACACATCCTTTCCTTGTATCCTCGTGTGGATATCATTCCATAGTTACCAGATTTACACTGTCATGACAGTAGTTTTATATTAGATTATAACTTTGCAGATATCAGGTTAGTAAGCAACATTATCACACTAGTCTTGTGTATAAAGTAATAAAATAGTTATATGTACATGTAAGTTAAAATATATGTACTTTTAAAATATAACATATTTATACAGTTATATACAGTAGTTGTATAAGTATAACCACTACCACCTTGATGACATATTTACATAGAAAACTGACATTTATGTCAGAACAGCTTTTTTTAGCAAATGTTTAATAAATATTCAGTCACATCCACAGAGCAGTTCATAAGATATGAGACGTAAATAAACATACACATTGTGGTACTGCACATGTTTACATGGTAGTTTTGAATGTTTACATGAAGGTTTTTCAGTCTGATTGAGCCACCAATCTAGTTATACAGATTATTTGGGTGCATGTAAACATAGCTATTGTGTATTTTACCATTTTTCTGGTGCAATAACTTGCCCCCAGACTTCTGTTTTAAGTTTACTTACTACTGTACTATACACTTGTTTGTTTTATTTATTTATTTATTTTTACAATTTGGAGGTAATAATAAACCACATGCCAGATAATGGGCAGACATTAAGCTTTAGGTGTATTTATCCTGAACATTTGTTTATATTTAAAAAAAAAACATGCTTTATTAAAAGTTGTACTATACGGTGACGCATTGCTGCCGCACACATATTATTTTTTCCACTCAATTATGTCGTTTTAATGACATCTTTTCTCGTAATAACGACATCTTTTCTCGTTAAAACGACATCTTTTCTCGTTAAAACGACATCTTTTCTCGTTAAAACGAGATCTTTTCTCGTTAAAACGACATCTTTTCTCGTTATAACGACATCTTTTCTCGTTAAAACGACATATTTTCTCGTTATAACGACATCTTTTCTCGTTAAAACGACATCTTTTCTCGTAATAACGAGATCTTTTCTCGTTAAAACGACATCTTTTCTCGTAATAACGACATAACGTTCTAGTTAAAACGACGTGCGTGGCGTGACAGGCGTTTTGTTTCTTCAGCCATAGCCCACGGAATACTGGTACAGTAAAATATTTCAGCTTTTTGGGCTAGAGTCATGGCACATTTAAATGAACTGATTTATTTCTACTTTCTCCTCGGTTTAAGTCACAAAGACATTTTATTAACATTGAGCCACGTCGATAGGATTATTATTAGTATGCGAACACTACGTCGGCATCTTAAACATCTGAGACTGTACAGACGAAAGAATCAAACAGATCTATTGGAAGTAGCATTATTCCTCATGAATGAACTAGACCGTTATGGAAAGCTACATGGATATAAACTACTACATCTAAAGTGTATTCAAGCTGGATTTGTTGTCAGTCAACGTATAATTCGCCATTTATTAGGCATCCTGGATCCCGATGGAGTACAAATGAGAAGGAGAAATCGCTTAAGACGTCGGATGTATGTAAATCCTGGCCCCAATTTTATATGGCACATGGACTCCTATGACAAACTGAAACCTTTTGGTATCTGCATCAACGGCGCGATCGATGGATTTTATAGGATGGTAATTTGGCTCCATGCTTATTCTACTAATTCTGACCCGAAGGTAATCGCCAGCTATTTTATTAATGAAGTTGGACAAAGGATGGGGACACCAGCCAGAATGAGGTCAGACCTGGGAACAGAGAACTGTTATGTGGAACAAATGCAGAAGTTCCTACGCTATGATGACCACGACGAATATGCAGAAAACTGCTTCATCTATGGTTCAAGCAACCACAATCAGCGCATTGAGAGCTGGTGGGCATTCATGAGAAAACAGCATGCTCAGTACTGGATTAATCGTTTCCAGGATTTGAAGGAGAAAGATTACTTCACAGGTGGTTTCCTGGACAAGCAGTTAATATTGTTCACCTGTCTGAATATCATTGAAGTAAGTTGATGTATTAGCCTAAAATTAGGCCCAAAAGTGTTGACATCCAAAATCAGTATGGAGGCCCAAACCTGCAGAAATGTATATGTAGCCTATGTATACAGAAATAATACAGAAAATAATAAATGAAGGGAAGAATTCAAAATAAATTCAGGATTACATGTAATTAAAATGAATTATATAATGCATTTTAACTGCATTTAATCCTGAATTTATATTACTTCGTCCCTTCATTTATTATTTTCTGTAATATTTTAAAATTCGTTTATTCTTTATTAACGTTTATTTACTTTTATATTTATGTATTCAGATGTGTTAATTTCCATATTTATCCATTTATTTAGTTGTACTTTCTGGTCTTTAATACATTATTGGTTGAGCTCATTGTATATTGTAGGCTATATGCGGCTATGTAGTGGATATGATCTCACTGTCTAACATATGCCTAATTCATCGTTAATTTTGTAATTTTGTCAACTATTTTTTCTTAATTACACATCTTGTTTTGATGTTTCTTTTATTCCATAATAACATTGCAAGTTAAATGGTTTTAGACTATTTGTTTTTCTAGGGTCGAAAAAAGAAAATAGTCCTATTCTCATTTTACAGATATTATCCAAAATTATTTTTTATTTCAATCTGCAGTCCAATAAAAGTTAAGAAAAAATAGAATTAGCCTACATACAGGCCTATCTATAGAATAGACCAATTCTTTTTTTTCTTACATTTAAAAACATTTAACTTTTTCTTAAAATTCGTCGTGAATAATAGGCCTAAATAAACTTCATAAAGAATATTCTTCATAACGGATTTTATTTCATAACAAATATAGGAAGGTAACGATTAACTATCCTTAAAAACTATCCTGCATTAAACAATCACAAATATGACACCTGTAAATAAAATCATTTTATATACAGTTTAATTATATATAATTTTTTTGTGTCAAATCAATGAGGAAATTCACTGCAACTCTTCTGTCAGCTGCCGGAATGTGATGTGTTGACAGCGCCAGCATTGGGAGCATGAACGTTTTCTAATAAAATGAATATTTAAATATACAAATATCATTTTAAATGACATTTGTTTCGGAGCAGTA